ACCAAGAAAATACTAATAATCTACATTCCTGTGCCGTTTCGTCAGGTGACGTAGCGCTGTCCTTCAGAACGGTTTCCCCTGTGGCCCAGGGCCCGGTATCAGGTGTAGCTGTCCCCTCCCCACAAGCTCCTTCACTCCGGAACGTCCTCTCAAGTCCTCCTTCGTCATGAATGACATGACGTTTTCTGCTTTAGCAGGACGGTCTTCTTCAGGGCTTGGCTGCTGTTTCTTCGGCACAACTTGAGTTGGAAGACTGCGTACCTGGGTGCGCGCCATTCTCGGGCCTCCCGTCTGGAGGTGCGCCAGGTTCGGTGATGTTGGTTTTGATTACCTGAGCGGAGAATTCTCCAAAATCCCAGTGTGTATGTACACTGTTTCCTTTGAGGTAAATACGCAGCGAGTGGGGAGACATGTTAAGGCCATGCACATCCGCCTCGTCAAAGTTTCTCCTGGATAATTCCAACTTTTCTCAACTTTATTAGACTCTCTGAAAATAGTAATTTCACTCAAGACCTTGACTGGAAAGCCAATGTCACCACTGCCTCCTAAAATGTTTTTTGTAGCAGGTGAGCTGTAATTAACCATAAAGTCATCGTTCATTCGAAAGCTTGAACTACGAAAGCCGTAATGGTTGATTTTTTTCCTCATCAGATCTGCACTTCTGTACTTTTTTTTTTTTTAATGTTGTATTTATTTCTAGGAGAGAGAGAGAGAGACAGCGTGAGCAGGGGAGGGTCAGAGAGAGAGAGGGAGTCACAGACTCTGAAACAGGCTCCAGGCTCTGAGCTGGCAGTCAGCACAGAGNCAGGGGAGGGTCAGAGAGAGAGAGGGAGTCACAGACTCTGAAACAGGCTCCAGGCTCTGAGCTGGCAGTCAGCACAGAGCCCGACGCGGGGCTCGAACCCACGAACCGCGAGATCATGACCTAAGCAAAAGTCGGACGCTTAACTGACTAAGCCACCCAGGTGCCCCTGCACTTCTGTACTTTGATCCCATCTCCTCAGGAGTGAGAAAAGAAGGCCTCACTGCTTCACTGTAGCCGAACCCTTCGGCTTTCTCCATCCTAATAAGCAATTTCTACTACAAGGATGTCAGACCTCAAAGATACTAAACTTGATGGGACATCTGGTGTCCCAGGCGGTTGAATATCTGACTCGATTTTGGCTCAGGTCATGATCTCCTAGTTCACAAGTTCAAGCCCCTGCACCAACAGTGCAGTGCCTGCTTGGGATTCTCTCTCTCCCTTTCTCTGCCTCTCCCCTGCTCGTGCTCTCTTTCCTTCTCTCTCAAAATAACTAAATAAATGTTAAAAAGAAAAAAAAAAGATACTAAGCTTGAATCAAATTTAGATATTGGCTAAGGTTTTTACTAAGCCAGAGGGGTTTTTAAAAAGGTAGCTTTTAGAAACACTGTTGGCTGATAAGGAAGTGGCAGGAGTTAGCATGGCCATCTCTCTCTTTCTCTCTCCCTCCCGCTTGTGTGAAGGAGAGAAGTGGAGGGCGGAGGGCCCTTCCCCTGCGCCTCACATCTCACCTGCCTGCCCAGGCCACTCTCCATCCTGAATAAAACGCTGCTCGTCCTGAGACCTGAGTGTGTCGTCCATTTGGAGTAATTGAAAGCCATGATTTCTCCCAAAACAGGTCTGTGGCTCCGCCTCTATAGCCCCCGGAAAGCCCTGTGTAGCCGCCTCTGTAGCCCCGTGCCCTCGGTCCTCTGTGGAGACAAAAGTAGTTTCCTTCCAGTTAGATGGGTTCCTTGCATTCTTTCCTTCCATCTCTTGATTGTTTCCTTCGGTTTCCTTCCTTATTCACACTGAGAAGATACGCAGGTGGTGTTGCACGCGGGTCTGGAGGGGAGCTTTGGCATCTGGTGATCTTGGGGTTGACACCCAGCTCTCACTTGGGAGCTCCGTGACTTGTCTTGGGTCTGTTACTCATCCTGAAACGGGTGCAGAGACCTGCTGCACGAAGTTCTCGGACTGCATGCCGAGTTGCTGCTAGGAGGGGCACCCGTGGGGGGGTTCTCATGCTTCCTCCTGAGAACGCGAGCGAGGTGATGGGCAGCACAGCCTGGGGCGGGGCCCCACCTCAGCAGTCTGATCTGTGCTGGCCAGGGCCCTGGGGGGCCAGAGCAAGCTGGACATCGGTTATGGGGACCTGCCCGCTCAGATGCCCAGGCTGTGCCTGAGGTGCTGGGATCCCGAGGTGTCACGGGTTCCCAATCCCCCGGGCTGACTGTCAGCCAACTGTTTCAGTCCCGGGATGTTCTCCTGGCTTGGAAGACACCAAGGGCACCGATCCAGTGCTGTGCAGACAGGTGCACACTGGGGCGGGCCCCAGAGAGGCCAGTTAGGGCTTCCCGGAGGAGCCTGGAACCATGGGCTCCCGGGTGGGAGTGTCTGGTATTAGGGTATGGACAGCCCCTACCTGGAGCACCCCCCCCCCCCCCACTGTCTCCCATAGAGAAGGGCTGGGCTGCAGGGCACACAGGCAGTGTAGACCTCTCACCCTGGCCACCAGCCTGTGATTTCGTCCCTGGGGACACATGGTTGAGGTGCCACGAGAGTGCTAAGGGATTCTGAAACTTTGGGCATGGAGTAAGCACACACACAAGTCTGTTCGGAGCCCTTCACTTTCAGCTAGGAACTTGAGAGGGTGGAGGAACTGTGGGCTGGGGTGGCAGCCGTCACTGTGCCTGTCATCTGCCTTTCTGGCCTCCCAGGACTGTGGCTCTTTGGGGGGCTCAGGGTCGTCACTCTGCCCCTGACGGCTGGCACACGCTCCCTGGCTCCCTCCCGCGACTTTGGTGCTCGCAGTCCCAGACAGGCCAGCTCCGAGGCCAGGCTATGGGCCTGGTAGTAAAGAAAAGAACAAGTTCATACCACCGGAAATGCTTCGGAGGTAAATTGTCTGCCGTAAAACAAATCCACTGTTTCTAATATAGTATTCTGGTGAAATGAAATTGCCCATTTTAGGTTTATGTTTTCTTTTGTGTTCTTAAAAGTCATTTAAAGATTAAACAAGAAACTGAAAAAAGTCACACAATTTTCAGGTCTCTCATGTAGCTGGTACACAGATATCTTGTTGCTCTAAATTGATTTAATCTTTCCAGAAAGCAGACTAGCTGAGTGTAAGCAAAGTTATAAAGTTTTTCATGGCTTCCCTTACCATTGGCTGGTCAGTTTTGGGACTCTGTCCCAAGGAAATAGCTCTCCCTCACAACACCGAGAGGAACTGAAGTATGCCTGGCACAAAAAAGTGTTTCTCCCTCTTTGTGACAGTGAAAATATAGTCAGCTGAAGCGTAGGCCTGGGAGAGGGGTGGTGAGTGTGGGGGGAGGGGTGATGGGTGTGGGGGGAGAGGGGTGGTGAGTGGAAAGGAGAGGGGTGGTGAGTGGGGAGAGGAG